CCAGAGCAAACGTGTTTTTGGAGAACCCATTTCAGCACATCCTGTTTTAAAGGTTCACGAGCCAGACATTAGGTGCTGGAGGGCAATGGTTTCTATTGGGAACCATGAATGAGTACATGATGGATTGAAGGAGAAACAAATTGATTTGATTAAGTTTACAGAGATGGAAGGAAAAGACTACAGGAAGATGAGGAGGGAACAGGGGGAGGTAGGGAAGTGAATGGTAAAGCTAAGCAGGCTAATAACAGGGACAGAAGTTCTACACCACAGGAGAGAGAGATGCAAAGGAAGAAAAGCAGGCAGGTGAGCCTGGGAATAGCTGGTAATGATCCTATTGCACAGGACGTGGCACAAGCAGGGCCTTGAAAAAAAGAAAGAAGAAGAAAAGAAAAAGCCCATCTGCCCGCGCCTTGATTTCTATTAGATCAGACTACGAAGTCACAACACAAAGTTGAGAGTGGCAACTGCGGGCCTTCTGTTACAGACTCCTACTATGAGTTGTGCACAGCATTTTGATGTTCTGGGAATGCATATGGGTTTGATGCAGTGTGGGAACTAAAGTAAAGCCCAGGAGAGGGGAAGCGAGTTTATGAAAAATTATTTAAAGATATGTGTGCATGCATCTGTGGGTGTGTATCTACTGAGACCCAATGTCACATCGCCCTCGAAGTGAGGGTTGCAAAGAGGGATAGGGCCTGAAGACACGGCCCTGAGTTCAGCACAGCACAGCTGGAGGAGGCCAGGGGCAGGCCTCCATCTCTGAAGATGGCCAGGGAGTAAGCATGTGCGTGTGTGTGTGTGTGTGTGTGTGTGCGCGCGCATGTGTAACAGAGATAGCACACCTGGCCAGGCAGTTGTGTAATCTGATACCACAGGGGGAAAATTTCTTCCCGATCTCAGCTGGTGATCAGATTTTGCCCTGAAGCATAGGGTAAGTGTCCTTGCAACTTTTATCCAGAAGGAAGACAAAAACCCAAACCCTAAGAAGTCCTTCTTCAACACCAGCCAGAGGTCGGGAAAAATGGAAGAAAAGCCACATGGTGTGGTGTCTTTGGTCACTGAGTGTCACCTTTGCCACAATGGAAGACTGGTTGGAAGCAAGGCTATTGCTCAACCACCCTAATCTCATGGAATTTTATTTCTAATAAAAGTAATTGTTAAAATATAACAGCACACTTTTTAAAATTTTTTTGGTAAGGCTTGCCACATAAAGAAAGAACAGGGCCCTGACTGGTTTGGCTCAGCGGATAGAGCGTCGGCCTGCGGACTGAAGGGTCCCAGGTTCGATTCTGGTCAAGGGCATGTACCTTGGTTGCGGGCACATCCCCAGTGGGGGGTGTGCAGGAGGCAGCTGATCATTGTTTTTCTCTCATTGATGTTTCTAACTCTCTATCCCTTTCCCTTTCTCTCTGTAAAAAATCAATAAAATATATTTTTTTTTTAAAAAAGAAAGAACAGGGAGAAGTCCTTTATCAGTTCACACATCACAATGTAGGTTTTAGAAAATATGGTAACTTCTGCTGGGGGCGGGGGGGGGGGGCTCCCACACAACTGCATGGGCACTTGTTATTCCACTCCTATTTACAGTTCAACAGCTCATTAATAAATTTTCTCAGCCCAGTCAGTATAGCTCAGAGTTGAGTTTCAACCTATGAACCAGGAGGTCATGGTTTGATTCCCGGTCAGGGCACATGCCCGATTGCGGGCTCAATCCCAGTGTGAGGTGTATAAGTGTGAGGTGTATAGGAGACAGCTGATCGATGATTCTCTCTCATCATTGATGTTTCTATCTCTCTCTCCCTCTCCCTCTCTTAAATCAGTAATAAATAAATAAATAAATTTTCTCCTAGGCAGGTCAATGTTGAAGCAACTTCAAGTGAAAACAGTGGCTGATAGCGCTGATAGCCCTAACAGAGTCGTCAAGGTTCAGATTTAGTTCTGAGGCCGGTTGCTAGAACTAAATGGGGACAGTCCCAAGATTAGATTGTGATATACTAATTGTCAGGAACCCTAAGTCCCATCAGTGCTAAGCCCCCATGTTCCCTGAACTGTCAGCTTCCCATTGCATCTGTAAGACAAGAAGGAGGAGAGAGGAAGTGGAAGGGGAAGGAAATGGCCTCTATATCAACAAGTCTTGGCAGTAGAGACGCTGGGCAAGGACAGTAACAGTGGGAGGAAACTTGACAACAGCACATTGTCCAAGGATGAGGTGTATGTGCCGAGTGTTCATAGAAGGCACACCCTTAGTGGCCACCCCCACCTTGGCAGCTTGATAAATGTGCATTTTCACTGGGAACACAGAGACCTATGCTTTGCTGTTCCCCTAGGTGGCTTAGATTAGCATTCCTGCAACAACCCCTAACTTGCACACAACCCCTATTGGGCCCTATCTGTGAGGGGCAAGGGCAACCTTGGACCCCTGAGAAGACAGAAAGGCCTAGAATAAAGCAGTACAGGGACCCCACCTGCGGCCAAGATAACATCAAGGTCAGTAGGTCTGGCAGGCAGCTATAGCGTGGGTGTCGAAAAGACAGCCTGTGGCAGACGGAAAACCTGGCAGATGTCAGTTTGGGGGGAAACTGTAAAAGAACTCTTGCTGGGATCTGGCTGGGTTCGGGAAGTTAAAACTTCACATATCCTGACGCCCCTAATCCCCGCTCTATGTCAACAACAATCAGAGTAAAGAGAAAAGGAGCCATTTGGGCTTGTATGGAAGGTCCAAGTATATCTGCTTCTATCTAAAAATACCTGACTTCTCCCAACTGGCCCATTGCACACCTATCAGATTGTTTATAACCCCAATACACTCTCCCAACAGTCTCCTCTTTAAGCAAATAGCACTGAGTTGTCTACTATAAACAGAAATGTTGAGGCGGTCATACCACCCATAAGACATGACTTTGAGTTGTGATTCTGGTACTGTGGTGCACTCAGTCATCCTCACTGGTTTAGGCCTCCAGGGCAAGACACTGGGAGTGAAATAAGAGGTCCGAAGAGGTCATCATCATAGATAAGGGTAGACAAGAACATGGGATTTGAAGAAGGTTGAAAAGCAATCACAGACTCGGAAAGGCCATTGCAGATATCACAGAAGGCTCAGAAAGCTGAGCTGCTCTCACAAGTTATCTCTACCAACCAGCTAGCAGAGGAATGAGGTAGGGGAACAACTGGTAGACCCACACAGCGGTGACAGGCCGCTGGTTCCCAGAGTATCCCAGCGAGCAATGCTAAGACTACACATGGCTGCAACAAACAGCCATCAGCTCTCTCCCCCTCATCCAGGAGGCATCGTGAGCCAAGCCAAGAAGAAAGGATGAATAAGGGATGAAGTTCATTCATTTTAGGCTGTCCATGCTTCTCCTTGAAGATCTGGCCTAAAGGTTCTCAAGACTTTTCTCCAGCTTCCTATGTTCCTCTCTGGAAGGTGGGAGATCAAGTGGTAGAGAATGAGTGGGTGCTGTGTGTGCACATTCAATTCAGTGCTTAAGAGAACACCTCAGTGTTAGGGGTGGCTGTGTGGTTGGTCGGTCAGCCTTGCCAAGCGGTCCTGACAAGGCAACAATAATGAGGTCTCTACCTTTCTTCCTTCCTCTACCTTCCAGGGGCATTTGCTCAGGATGTCAACTGTGTGAGGTCTTTATTTTACATTTTTCTTATGTATCACAGAGCCTAGCACCCACTGAGCCAATAGTAGAAGCTGAATAAATTCATGCTGATATAAAACTTCTATTCAACTAACATACACCGGACATTCTGTGCTTGATACTGGAAATATAAAAACGAAACCATGAGACTCCTGCTCTCAGTGGACTTTCACTCTAGTTAGAGGATGAGAAACAATTAAAATATACCAGGATCATTGCAAATAACAAAGGCATGTTCACCACTGTGCCTGTCAGCAACAAGGAAGGCTTCAGATGACAAATTGGCTACAGGGCAGAAAAGGGATCAGGGGAAGATTCCAGGAATAAAAGTTCATAATGTGGTTTGGGAGAAGAGAGAGAGATTGGAGACGATTCTAGAAAGGCAGGCTGTAAAGGGTCTCGCATGCCATGATAACGAGTGGGTTTTATCCTGAACTGCAGTGTCAGAAAGAAACTAGTGTGACAAAGTTTTATTTGCAAAGAATCATGCTGGGCTGGATTGGAAGGTGCATGCGTGGAGGTCAGACGATCAGATGGGAGGCAGCTGAAGAGTCTGGGGCCAGAAGGAAGACAGTGCTCGTCAGGATGGAGAAGAAAGAACAGTGTAAGAGATATGGGGTGCGGACCACTGCACTGCACTGCCTTGCAGACCCAGAAGATGGTACATCTGCCCTCCAGAAGCTGACGACCCAGTAGCTTAAAGAGCAATGGTGGCACTAGCCGGTTTGGCTCAGTGAATAGAGCATTGGCCTGCAGACTGAAGGGCCCCAGGTTCAATCCAGTAAAGGGCACATGCCTGGGTTCAGACTCGATCCCCAGTAGGGGGCATGCAGGAGGAAGCCGATCAATGATTCTCATCATTGATGTTTCTATCTCTCTCTCCCTTTCCATTCCTCTCTGAAACCAATGAAAATATATTAAAATTTGAATTTAAAAAAGCAGCAACGGTGGATGAGTCTGTTAGTACGCCGTGGACAGAGAAGGGTCATCATTCCCCACTCAGACCTGGATGGCTTTTGTTGCAGTGCTGGCTTTAAGCTGGCCTTTGAAGAATGACGGAGAGGTGATTTGGCAGAACTACTCATTTACTCTCCTTCTTTTGGCTATTCTCCCCTGTGATTCATGTCCTGAACAGTTTTATTTAGCTCTATCTTTATAGTATAAGATTCTTAGATGGATTCTTTTAACAGAAACCTCCAGGAGAAATAGCTGCCATCGTCTCTCACATTAATCCTGCTCATCAGCACCTCCTGACAGTATCTGACCTAGGTGGGACGAAATAAATAAATAAAAACAATAACAATAAGGCTTTGCCAGGCTGGCGAACTGATCCAGTCAGAGGATTATAAGAGACACCTGTTTTTTTCACACAGCAGCTGCAAACACAGTAGAAGCATGGCATCCTGGAATCAAGAAGGAGTTCTCATTAAAATCCAAGAGCAGCAGAAACTGGTATGAACCAATTTTCAATGATGTCACCTGAATGTGAAAAGAAGTTCAAGTTAGAGTAGACACATAATAGGAACCCTGCTTTGCTAAACTTGGGAACCTGAATGTTACTTTGCTTATGGGGAGGTGATTATCTATTCATCCAAATATTCTAAATCCTTAAAGCATCTATTATACACTTAGGTCGCTATCATAAACATACTGAAGGTTTTTGAAGTTTGGCTGATTTATGCCCTTGTGGCTGACCAAACACCTCTTCATTTAAGCCAGCTTAAAAAACAAACCAGAATATAGCCCAATGTAAAATGCGGATACTCCTACAGGAGCAAATAAACATTTAAATTATCTTTTCAGTTCATTGACCACTGCAGATATACACACGCATAAGCTACCAACCTGTAAACACCACGGGCAAACCATTTCGTAGCTGCAATATGTCCACATCGCCTTCCCAGACCAGACCAGGGAGATGCTCTTAGAAACAGCTTGCTAACAGCCTCTCACATTGCTATTTAACAATCCATTTATAGCCCATCAAAAAGCCAGCCCTCCAAGGAGATATATTTTATACCTATATGTAGAGTTCTTTGCCACAAAGCTGGGTTTTGTACAATCTTTCACTCTGGAGGCCAGAAATCAGATTATAGCACAATTTCGGTGACTTATGATCCCATAAGCATGCCATATATGGGCATATATGCAAACAGTCACAAGAACAAACCCTTGGAATAAAAGCAGAATGATGCCCAAGAAAGCACATGCCATGAAATAGTCCTGACTAGAACTAAAAATAGCACATAAAGGCATGGTGTCAGCTACCCTCTCGCTGTTCTCCCTAGAACATGCTCATTCTAACCTCCAGTGTTGATTCTTAAGCTTCAGCCTTCAATGACTACCTAGGAACCTTTCCCGAACCCAACAAGCTCCTTTCGAGGCTTTGGAGTGGGGAGCAATCTTTCAATGCACTTCACTTATGAGGCCATTGATGCACACAAAGGCAGGCAAAGAGTGAACCTGAAATTGTGAATATTCCCCCCGAAGCCTAATATGTGTGCCCTGGGGACACCAGGACCAGCACAGAGATGGCCTTTCTGGCAAATAGTCCACTAGAAACCCCTGAAGTGCTACGCATGGTCAACGGCCCAATGGGCAGCCAGCGGGACTAACTCTCGCCCTACCCTGCCTGGAGAAGTATGCAGCCAGAACTTCCCCAAGTGGCAGAACCTTGTCAATGCAGGCCCCACGTGGAGTCCCAAAAAGATCCGAGAAGAAAACCCTAAGAATGCAAAATCCCAAGAGAACCACGGCCCCAATCTGGGGGCCAGGGCTGTGAAGTGAATTCTTCCCAATAACCCGTTTGGCACTTAGCCCAGCAGTCCACAAACACGAGCATCGAGGCAGTGACTGGATTTCCCCTGGGCTCCACAGGTCATCCTAAAATGTATCCAAGCGAGAAACAGGATGTGTTGTGAACTCACTTTCACCTATAACCTAGATATACACGAACCAAGAGGCAAGAGGACGACATGTCATCCACCCACACCTTCTCCACAGCTGAAATGGAAATGTGCACAGAGCCATCTTTCCCCTAAATCGGACCGCCCCACACCATGGCTAACCACAAAAGCACACAGGCCTCCCCGCTCCCTTAGAGAGGCTCTATTTGGCCATTTTTCCAAAATGTTCAAGACAGACAAATTCTCACATGAGCTGGCTAACGTGAACAGTGGCAGGGTCCCCCCCCCCCATCTTCCCTCTCTGCTGGAATAACAGGCCTTCTAGGGAGGCCCACATGGCTCCGGGCCTTTCTGCCTTCTTGTGGTTTTAAGGTTCTTTTCCCTCTGAGGCCTTAGCCCAGATATCTCCAAGTGCAGCACACTGCCCTGCTCTCAGAAAACAACAAATAAACACCCTGCCATTGCTGCCAGGGCCTCCTTGTTCATTTTCTAGGGTAGGTAGCTTAGAAAAGCCACGGTGCCAGCATGGGTGGGAGCATGGAAGACAGGGACACTAATAGGTGCCCTACTTGAGATGTAACCGAACACTGGGTGCCTTTGCCCATCGCCCTGCCTGTCTGGGTGAAAGGGAGATACCTTTACAGCATGCTGAGAACGATTAGAGGATCATCACTCCGGCCTTCCTGTGCTCGCCAACATTCCCCCTGGATGCCATCGTGTGCAAACGCTGTGTCTGACCTACAGCTGACTTCTGCCTGCAGGGCAGTGCACCCTCGCGTCCGAGTCACGTCCTGACAACAGCACAGGGCCTCACAGGCGCAGAAACGCAGACTGCAAACCTCAGAAGGTGAGCCTTTGTTTCTCCGGTTCTTGGGGGGTAAGGGCTCTCACTTTTCCAACCGGTATGGTCTCTATTCTCACCCTAGAGTCTCCGAGTCAGCAGACTAAGGGAAGCACCACATGGCACAGCGTCAAGCAAGGAGCTGGCAGCTTTCCAGGGGATCTGAGCTGTAGGCAGCCAAACCGGGGCATTCAGGTCTCCATGCTGCGGAGAAGAGGAGACTTACCCAGCTTTAGGGAACCTACATGACTCAGACGTCATGCCCAAAATGACAGCGCTCCCACCTGGCTCACCTCACTTCGAATACAGATCAGATCAAAAGGCGCAAAGGGAGAGTGACTCCTGGCCCGCTGCCCCCGCCCATCACTGCCCATTACTATCAGGACTTGTGAGTCAGGAGAGCCCCGAGTGTCAACCCTGCAAGGAACCAGTCAAGTGAACTCATGACATGGATTTTTAAAATCTCTCAGCTCTCAAGTCAAAAGGACGACACATCAACTACAAAACACACCATGGCTCAGGTCCTTAAGATTTCCATTTCCCAAAACCAGGTGTGCCAACTCTGTGGCAGGAAGTTGGGCAGGAGCACACAAAGAGGCCCAAAGGAAAGAGAACTTCTGTCCCTTCGGGTGCCCGGCCTGGGATCACAAATCTACACACAAAAATACGCAGCTGGTCCATGTGGCTGAGTGAGGAGACGCTACAGTCTGGTTTGCTCTGGCAGGAGTCTGATTGGAGGGTCAAGGATAGTCTGGGAAAGAAGACAAATGGTCTAGAAGCAACAATAAGGAAGGAACTAATGTGGACAAGTTTTCTTCCTTCGTCTGAACTCTTCAAAGCAGTCCAGAAACGAGCTTAGCAAACTCCCACTCCCCTTTTTGTAAAAGCTGTATTACTAGTACATTTCTTTTTGCTCACTCCAGAGTGTATCTATTTAGCCGGGTATTCAACATTCGGCTGGAATAATACTAATTCTAAATTGTCTCTTGACCTGGGTTCTTCATTAGATTCCCGGCACTGTTCCCAACCACACCCACAGCAAGGCGGCCACCTGAGCCCTCCCTCTCTGGGGCCACAGTGGCCACACCTAGACCCACACTCCCACTGCGGGGACAAGGCGGTGTGCTAGGAAAATGGGCAACTTCTGAGACAAACAAGCTGTTCTTTGGGGTTGGATTTTTTTCATTGCAAGGCTGATTTCTATCTGTAGCTCATTTCTTCCAGGAAATACTTTACAGTCAGCATCTCATCTCTGGTTTCTATTTCCTCACATACAGGGGATGTGAGCGAAGCAGGATTACTGACCTCATTCTACAGATAAGTCTTCAGAAAGACAGGGTTACACAGCCCATCAAAACCCACCGGAGAAGGTAGGAGGCAGCCGAAAAGAAATCACAAACTTTCACTGTGTTTTCCAGGTGGAGTGCGGAGGAACACACCTCACAAGTTCCTTCTTCTCATCCACACCTGCTTTCATGGGGTCAGCGGAAGAGGCAGCTAACATTCTCTCCTCAAAAAGGGTCATTTTCCTGTCTTCTCGTTTAACGTGTACATACACAGGAAAACTCAGGAATGCATTTTAAATCCCCAGCAAAACAGATACTTCCAAACAGATACTTCAGTCTCTTAACATCTACTAAAAATGAAGGTCCCCGCATGTCCCAAAGTAACAAATTTGGCTTTTTCCAACCCTTCTGCATAAACTTCCACTACGAGCCATCTATTCCCCGCTCTTAAAACTGGAAATTCACCGCCTCACAGCAAACAGTGTCTGTTCTGTGGTCAGACAGACATGGGACCGCCTGTTAAACAAAAGCAGACTGAAGAATGGATGCTCCCTTTCAAGACTCGCCCCAGTCACAAATAATAAGCAACTGTACGAACAAGCAGATCCCTGAATAGGTTCGAATGCTTGAGTGCTGAGTAATAACACCAGTTAGAGTCACTGTACAGTACTTCCAGGCTTAGGTTTTTTTCCTTTTCTTTCATCTCTGGAAACTTATTCAGAACCATACTAGCTATGCCCTCAAAACTTTACTGTAAGATGCAAAAGGCATTTATTATCCTGTAATTGCAGTTGGCTCCTCTCTCCTGCTGTTGAGGCGAGTATTCAATTAAAGTGAGAATAAGAGCTTTTCTGAGCATTGACTGAGTGACCCCAGCCCTGTGAGAAACGCAATGGGGTAGTGACAGGCGCACTTGCTGGGAGTCAGCCAACATGAGAGGCCTAGATTTTAGTTCAGGAAGGGCCATGAACTAGCCATGTGAACTTGAACAAGACGGTTAACATCTCTGGCCTCCGTATTCTCAACTGCATAATGTGGAGGATTACAAAGAGGAAGAATTTACATATTCCAACAGCCCTAAGAGACAGATCTGCTTATTAGCACTTCAGATGAGTTACAAGGTTCAAGATGAAGATGAACAAGTTCAAGAACCAGAATTCACTCTCAGTTCTGTCTATTCCAGCGCCTGTGTTCTTCCCCTAGAAGCACTCACAGTATGGCAATGACCGGACGCCTCTTCTCAGCAACTTACAATCCCCTTGAGGGAAATCACCTTCACAGATAAGAACTAAGAACAACATCAAACAGAATAAAATAAGAATCAAAATCTTACATCACTGAGCACCCACCGCGCTCGCACCAGCAGGGCGACACATCCTTTTCAGGTCGTTCAGGAAATGAGATCGTTTTCCGTATGTCTGACTCCCACACAGCGAGGGAAAATACCCCCGAG